CCCTGTCCGCAGCGGGAGAGGGCCCTGCAGCCTCCTGGCCGCCCGCAGCGCCCACCACAGGCGCCGCTCAGACTGATTTAGAGTGGGTCACTGTGGGGCAGAAAAGGCAGATGGAAGCTGGGCGAGGACGGGAGAAGGGTCGCCGGAGAAGCAAAGACAGCGAGGGGGGGACGAGCGGAGCAGGAAGAGGGCTGGCCCAGGGCCCCAGGATGGCGCTGGCCGAGCTGGACGCCGGACGAGGCGAGGAAGCCGGTCTGCAGCCCTCGGATCGCCTAAGCGCCGAGCTGCGGGACAGGGAGCGCTGTTTGACAGTCTGGACACGGGAGCCACCGAGGAGGCGCCTGAGGGGACCGGACGAGAAGGTGCGCCTGACCACACGGAGCAAGGCAGTCAGCCTTCAGGACGGGGACGTGGAGAGGGACCCACCGTCAGCGAGCCAGGGAGACAGATGCTACCGGCACGTTCTCGGGCAGGCTAGGAGGAAGCCAGGCGGATGACTGATGGAGCAGAATAATCCCAAACTGGTGGGCCCCAGTGACAGGATTCAGAGGCCAAGGGGAGGGGCCGCGGGGTTTCGGGAGGGGTGGGGGGAGAGAAGTGCTGCAGGGAGCAGCAGAGGCTGCTGGCAAGACGGAGCCTCTCTCCGGAGAGGGAGGGGCAGAGCGACCCTGCTAACCATTGCAGGCGGCTCGCGCTCTACCGGCTTCATGAAATAAAGACGAGCGGTTAGAAGGAAGAAAAGCCGGAGCCAGCGCAGTGCGGGGCCTCTCGGGGACGCCCCTGGCGGCACAGCGCTCCCCAAGGCTCCGGCCGACGCCCGCTGAGACCGCGCACGCCCCCGGCCCCCAGCTTCCGCGGGACTCTGCCTCCTTCGCAGTGTCCACGGAGGAGACCCGGGCCGGCGAGCGCCCACCGCCAGGGGCCCATGCTCGGAGCCGTCTCTCCGTGGACTGGCGAGGCAATGCGAGCGTGAGGACCCGGGTGAGCCCCGCTCCCTGCCAGGCGCCCGGCTGGCAACTGGCACAGAGCTGAGGTCACCCCGGCCCACCTCACTGTGGGCACCACACGGGTCTCCGAAGCCAGCCACGCGCCCTTCTCTCTGAAGCGCACGTTGTTTTGGGGGGCGCGTGTCTCCTGGGGGTCAAAGCCCACAGCTGTGCAGGTGAGGAGACGGCGCTGAGTGAAATTACGTCAGGAAACGGAGCCGCGAGATGCTGCCTGCTGGCCGCGCCCCACCCTCGCTCCTCATCCCTGGCTCTCACAAGGCGTCCCCTCGCACCAGCCCGCTGACCCCTGGGCCGGCCCTGAGAGGGAGCCCAGGAAGGGGGCTCTGACCACACAGGGGTCTGTGCTTCATACTCGCTCCCGTCTCCAAGACCCAAACCCAGGGTCGAGGCCCCTGGCCCGGTGGGCCGGACGAGGTCCAGCCCTTCACCTGCCCGAATCCTCAGCGCACCAGGTGGCTGCCACGTCTGACCTTCTCAAGGGGGCAGTGGGTGAGTCCAGGGGTCAGCACAGGCAGCGTCTACTCACCTGGAGTCCTTGCAAGCCGGGAGGCCCCTCCTTGCCTTGTGGACCCCTCAGGCCCTGAGCGGGGAGAGAGAGAGAGAATGGTCACCCCAGGGTCAACCCGCAGGGATATTTTGCCCTCACGTTGGCTACTGGACAAGAAAACAACGTCCCTGGACGCTGGGGAAACTGGGGAGCCGGGACGGACGGACGGTCACTCCCCTCAGATTTACTAACGGTGACGCACGAGCGTCTGTGCCATCGGACACGCGAGCTGGCAGCTCAGACGCAGGCAGCGCCAGGCACACTCACGGGGCACGCGGCGAGGGAGACGCAGTGCCGTCCGCAGGCCAGGTGTCTCCAGCGGGCAGCCCCGCGCCCTCCCCGGCAGCCTGCTGGCTCGGCAGCAGCCGGCAGGGGACCTGACCGCAGGCACCAGCGTACGAGACAGAATAGTCCGGACCAGGAGAGCAACTTGTCTCGGAAAGACCCGTCTCAGTCGCCAGGCCCCGGCCAGGACGGGGTCCCCGTGACCCAACGCCAGCCCCAGCCCCTCGAACCCCGGGATCTTCTGCTCACCACCCCGGCAAGTCGCTTGTGCCCTTAACCTCACCTAGCTCATCTCTGCAGGGAGGCCGCGCACCAGCGGCCAGGACCACACGCAGAATGGATGGGGAGCCCGACCGGCCCCCGCACCCCCGAAGTGCGCCCCGACGGCACCCAGGAGGAGGTATGGGATGCAGGAGCAGCCGTGACACTGACTCCACTTGAGTTTTGGCCAGAAATGCCCGCCCTGCCCCCTCTTCACCCTCCTCACACAGGGCCGCAGTAAGAGCTGCCACCTCGTGCATCTGCACTGAGCCTCAGAGCCGGGGTCTGTCC